TGCAGTGTTGGCTAGTCAACAAAGTTAAAATGTGTAGCATTTCGTAAACCTGAAATGGCACAAAATGACTGATGCCATCTGACCTTTCTTTGGATTGAATTTCCTGTTGTATTTTGGGAAAGGTAGTGACTGTGCTAGATAAGTAATTAATGCACTTTGGTGTGAGAATTATGAGAATTATGGAGAAATATATTAAAGGGTTGAATTCAGCATTATTACAAATTAGCTAATCTAGTCTTTTGGCACAAAATAAGCAGCCTGCTTTGTACACACTTGGAAGGTTTTAAAAACAAATCAATATAGCCATACACTCAGGACTATGCTAAAGAGAGCTGCTGATACACACACACTGCTCCTCCACAGTGGGCCCATTGTGGAGAGCTGCCACATCCAAAGCACCTTCCAGCTGTTGCAGGAACCCACCAGAGGAGTGAGTGCAGATGCAGACACCCTCAGTCAGATAATTACCTTGATTAAGATTCTCAGAATTAAACGGAGTTTAATCAAGGACCCTGTGAAATTGTGAAAGCGCCAGTTTCCTGGGCTTGCCCTCCTTTTCTGCGGATGGTGAGTTGCCAAACAAAATCAAAAGAGCCTTAATTACAAGGATGAGAGGCAAAATCGAAAGGGAATGAGAGAATCTGACTTTTGTGATGGAGATGGACTTGCACCAGTCCCAGCAAACTCAGCTCTGTTCTGCGTGGAGAGAGCCACAACGCATCACAGCTGAACACCATCAACATTCCTGACAATTCGAAGGACTGAATTAGTAGCTATGCCAATATATTTAAGGTTGGTGCTAATACTGAATTCTCTTATGATACAATGTTGTATGTGAACTTTTAGGAAATATTTGGGCTGATATTAGAAAAAAAAAAACCCATGCCACTCCGGTTGTTACTAAGAAAGCATGACTCAGCCTAAATCTAAACTAAACCATTATTGGAAATAAATTCTCACCTAAATGGAAAGCCTGAGAATCAGTGATACAGGGAGGTATAACTTTTTTCAACTTTCTTGCTTTCTTTTAATTTGGACCACAAATAGAAGTGATTATAAAAGTGATCCATTCCATAAATATGTCAATAGCTCCTAAAGTCCACTCACTACAACACTAATGTTCTTTTCATGTAAGCTGCTCCTAAGCCTTTTCCACTGTTCTGAATGTCTGTACTTGGTCTTTGATGTGCAGGACCTTGTATTGATTTCTTTAGTTTTATTTTCATAAAATTTGGCCTGGTATTATAAATAACATCAAAGAGTCATCATTTATTGGTGCTAATTAATTTGGTACAAGCACTCTGGGGACAGAATATTATAAAAATCATTGTACCCCCTCCCCAAGTCATACTTATGATAATATATCTTCACATATAAATTTCATATTTTTAATAATATTTTGTAAAGTAAACATAAACCCATCCCTGTCTATTTTCCAATTATTTACCATTATTATAAGCCACAAATGCAAACAGTTTATGGATAATCAATTTCCCTACAGGCTTTCCTCATGTCAATGCTCTGCCATTTCTATTTTTAGGATCTTTATTTATTTATTTTTATTACTTTGCTTAGTCCTTCAAAGATTTCCTTTGAACTGCTCTTCATATACTCCCTCTCGGTTGGCATCTAAAGTTTTACATTTTCTCTTTTTCTCAGATTTTATACCATTACCCTCCTATATTCCAATATCTTCTTATTCTTCTGACTTAATCTTATATTTTCTTCCATTCATGCATCTGGAATGATCTGGAAATAGTTTCCATTTCTATACCTCTGTGGACTAAAAAGCTAACTCTCTGACTATATGGCTGTTAATTGCTTTCCCCCAGCAAGACCCATCTCTATATAGCATTTTTGCAACTGTTGCTCATTCATGCTTTGTTTTCCTTCTACTTCTTCTTCCTCTATAATTTGCTATCTTATTTTTCACAAGATGATACACAAAGCCTGAATATCACTATCAATGAAAGAAATTTAATCTGTTATTAAAATAAACCTTCCCACAAAACCAGTGTTAATATTTTCTATAATAGTAATATTATTATAGAAAAGACATGCAATATTTATTTTATATTATATGGTTATGTTATAATTATTAGTTCTATAATAGTTATTTGTTAATCACAAAATAATTTGAGGTATAAATTATACATAATATTACATAAAAAGTATAATTTCATGTATTATTTTACAGGTTTATTATTACCTATATATTGTTTATTTTGTACCAGATATTTTACATATATCATCTCATTTAATACAACCATTCTGTGAGCTAGGTGTTATTATCTTCACTTTATTGATGAAGAAATTAAAGAACAAAGAACTTAATTAACTTGCCTAAACTCACAAAGCTAGTAACAGGCACAGCTGGCTCTAGAGTCCTTTGAGATGGATTGAGTTTAGAAGGTGGAAGGAAGGATTTTGAGAATATTCAAGTGTTTCTAGCTATGGTGTCCTGTGTAAGATGTTACCATTCATGAGTTTAAGAAAAAGTAATAACCAACCATTCAAGTTCTACATGTTTGTAAAACTCTTGCTAAGTGCCAGGTAGTGTGTTCTGAACAGTTCACAATATTATAATATTTTTTTCACACCAACTCTTAGATGTGAGAGAATTGAGACCCAAAGATATTCAATAATTTACTTTCACTAGATTATGCAGCTAGCAAATGAAAAAGGCAGAATTCAGACCCGTGACTCCTGAGTCTTTCACTTTTAACTACTATATTATGGAAAAATCAACCTATGCTGAAAGTGGGATGTCTTCTTGTTATCTAGATAAATAGCCTTCTGCTTTGAACCTCAAAATCAGTTACAGTTTTTGGGAATATCAGTTTTCAGGTAGTCACGAAGCCATATTAATTGTTGATATGCTCCATTCTGTTTGTGTAGAAAAAAGATCTCCCATTTTATTTTTAGGAAAGTGCAATAAATCTAATGAGAGACATATTAAAGCTGATGGCACATTTCCAGAGTTGACACGCCAAGAATCCAAGTTCACCTCTAACCTCTTAGGTAGTATACAATTCAAACTGAAAATAAAAGAACATCTTGGTATACAAGTTCAGTTTTTAGTGTAGAGGGAAGAAAAGGAGTTTTTAGTGTAGAGGAGAAGAAAGATTTTGAGTGCTTTACAGCTGGTGACATCTGAATTGTTTTGTGAACTCTGTTCTGGACCTAACAGCAAAACTCAAAACAAATGAGAAAAGTGCATTTCTGCCCATTTCAATATATAGGGACACTGAGAAATCCAGCCACCTCATCCCTGTTATAGGTGCTAGCAGGATATGACAGCTGTGCCACTACTCTGGCCAGGACCAGGGCCCACACTGCAGTAACAAGGGATCTACGCATCCATACAGTGAGCTCGAGGGTATCAAGAGAGGGAGAGTGGAGACTTCGATGTGACCGAGTGACCACTGATTGCTCTGCCTGGGCAAGAGTCCATGGGGCCCTGCCAAGAGGCCCAGAGGCAGAGGCTCAGAGTCTACATTAGTGATAGCAGGGAGAACAGGAGATTTGCTTCTTTCCATGATCCCGTGCATCCTATCGAACTGCCCTGGCTGCTGTGGCCTGAGCAAATACACGTTAGTAATTGGCCATTCTTTCCTGTCACCAAACAATTTTTCTGAGTTCCGCGTATCCAATTCTAGTCAGTCATTCTAAAACTTGCTCCAGAATTCCTGAGTATCTAATGTAAAATCAGGATTCCTTTTTATAGAGGATACATACTAAGCCCTGGATATATACTGCAATGTTTTACTACTGTGAGCCACAAGTTAATATTTTCCAAATTGCATTTATTTGACCTATAATTTCACCAGCCTCTTTGATAGTTAAAAAATAATGAAGTTTTACATATGCATAATTAGATATGATAAATGCTCAGAGAAGTATATAATGAGAGGTTAAACTGTCCCACAACCCCATACCCCTGAGTCTCTCTTCTCAAAGGGAACCACTATTAACAGCTACTTCTGTAAGTCCAGAAACAGTTTCCGTGCATATAGCTGCATATCTCAATTTTAAAACGTAAAGAATGCTTATACTAGACTCACTTTTCTACACCAAACTTTTCACTTAATGCATCCTGAAGGTTTTTATTCAAATCAACATATACTTATCCACAGCATTTCAGTAGTGTCTGTGTCATGTGAACATATCATAATGCACTTAACAAGCCCCTATTTACAGTGACTAACTGGAGCTACATTTGTTCTTACAAAGAGAGCTATAATCGAAATAGTATACTAATACCTTAGTATACTTTATTATATTTATTTCAAATTTGGTAAATATTGCCAGATTCATTTGAGAGTAGTTTTTATCCAGTTCCAACTTCACCAGAGCTTCGTACACTGTTGGTGAAATTGGAACCAGGCGAGGCCTTATTTCCTCCCCAAAACTGATATTACTAACCTTTAAAACTCTTATTTAACTGATTAAAACATTAGAATATGATCATTGATAATACTGGTAATATACGGCAGAAAGCTGAGGCTTTGAATATAGTAAAAATAATAGTAACAGATGAGCACGCCAGGTTTGTTCATTAAGTTCAAGCTATAGTTTATGTTTCATGGATTAATTGTGGTTTTTTACCCAATATGATATTGGGGTATTTAAAAAGTGAGAGAAAAAAATCACTTCAAATTCTTTTGAAATTAAATAAGATAGATTTTCCTCCTGTTATGGATTGTGTATTTTCTACATCTTCCTTAACAAATCAGCATGGAGTTATATAAGAACTCCAAATATTGAATTTTCTGGAAAATTGAATATTTATGTTAGAAAGGAAAAATGACATAGTCACTAAGGATGGTTAAATGAATTCACAAATAAGAAATACATTTTATCACATCATAGGATGTATTTCATTGACGTGAAGCTCTTACTATATTGATTTTAGAAAATAATTTTTATTGTGCATTTGTACTTTTTTAAACAGCATATTCACTGGAGAAAGAAGAATCCAGGAGAGAAAGAGTTCTGGAGGGAGAGGAAGAGGAAAAGATGTCAGTAGAGTGAGTAAAAGGGAGGGATAGAAGGAGAGAAATACTTGTGTGAAATGGCCGGTTTTCATTTCCTTGTGGGATTCCCTTTACTTACCAACAGATATTTCTTTCTGATATAGAAGATTCATGCTGAATAATCCCCATGTATAACATTGTCTTCTGAATTTTGGTTTGATTTTGATGAAGCTGATCCCTGAGTAGACTGGTTTTCCATTTGGGGGATTATCAGGTATAAGTCAGCAGAAAACAAAATGCTAAAATGAAAATGAATGATAACAGAATATACTTCAGACAGTTCAGCTTCGAGGAATTCTCATCTCCTCTGAAGCGATCACATATGAAATGAACAAAGATTTATACACCATTGCTTTTGTGTAAAATAATACAGGATACTCTAGTGTTGTACAAATGGATAAACATGTGTTAAAAAAAAGAAACACCAGGCCAAAATGGAGTCACTTGTGTTAAGCCTCAGGTCAGTAAAACAAGACTTAATACCTAACCTAATTATAGTTTCAGCCTCTCTTAGGAAGGTAATCTTAACCAGTCAGTCTGGAATTTCCTGGCAGCACTAGTGAGGTAGTCGATGTGCTAGACCCTTGCCTTCCCCCAGAGGAAGATGATCTTACCTGAAATAATCCTCTTTTTTTGTTTACGACTACCTTGTCCCTCCCACTTTCTACCTTTAAAAACCTTTTATGCAGCTCTTTGAAGCTCCTTCTAAATGAGTAAGTATTACCCCAGGGGAGGGGATCTTGACTCTATCAGTTGCTCCTTCTGTTCCAGTGACATTACATGGCCCATCAAACTTACCTGAAGTAATACTCTTAGTTTATCACACTAAAATAGTCGTAGTACTACAGTGGACGTCTCAAAACAACTAATACAGAGGTTCATATTGGCTACTGTCACTCCATTTTGAACTACTTAACATAGCGCAAATCCTGTAAGTTTCACACAAGATGACCAGGAATCATAACACAAAAGAAATGATGTCGTAACAAGTACAGAGCACTTAATTCTTATCAAAGGAAATAGACTGAGGCTGTACAGAAAAAAAGCTGTATTTATTGTGGATATTTCACCACTGAGTAACAGAAAGGTCATGATTCCCATTTCCAAGGCTTACCACGTTGAACTGGATTGTTTAACTCACTATTTTCATGTGAGGGACAAGGTCATTTTTTAAATCTCCAAATATCTCTTTCTTTTAAATTCATAAAACTAAATTAAGCTCAAGTTCTAATCACTGAAATTTTTTTATTTCTTTGCTTGCAGTTTTTGGTAATTCTCAAAATAATATGCTTAATGTTCAAGCTCAGCCCATTGAAATGGTTTCAGTCCATTTCAATTCATGGACACATATTCTAACAAGAATATAATGTCTCCTTGGTATTGGTTTTAGGGAAATGTGACATCAGATTCTTCTTTGGGTGTTCTATAAAGGGATTTTATTTGAGAGAGAGTGTTTCAAAAGAATGTGTTTGACCTGAGGCATATCTGAAGTGAAATAATGGAGACATGAATCAAAATAAGCTATTCTGTTACCTAAAACATTTCCCCAAATCTCCCACTGGTAAAATAATGATATTTTGATTCTGAAAACTAGGTCCACTCTGGTGGGAAAAGGCAGAGTCATAAAATCATTACTTCTATATTTCCTAAAATCTTATGATACCAGAAAAAATGTCACATTTTTCCCATTTGAGAACTCAAGTTAAAATGTTTTAAAAATAGAAAATAGTGAAAACTTTATTGTTTTTTTAGATTTGAGGCAAGTACTTAAAAACTTTATTATGTTTTAGATTTGGGTCAAGCACAAAAAATGTTAAACCTTTTTATAATGTTTGTCTCTATAAGACAACACAGTTATGTTTTGGTTAACATTACATTGATCATGGGCGTGATGGGAACCTCTGAATTTACAGCTGCACTTAGACCACTCATCACCATTGGGCAAGCTAATAAGCCTCAATTTCTCCATCTTTACTTGACAGATTTAAAATGAGGATTAAAATGTGATCATATGTATATAGCATGACCATTATGTAGAAGAACCTCAACAAATGCAAATTCCCTTTCACCTTATGAAAAGATTCCAGGGACATCATCACCCAGATGATTAATAAAAGAGAAAATCACTGTGATCCTCTGCCCCAATTACAAAGCTGTAGGTTCCTGAAATGCACTGCAAGATGCAGTAAGTTTAGACAGTTGAATTCATCTGTTCAAACAGCTGGCAATTGACCACCTTTCCCCACTAGCTAACCTGATTGAAGTAACATAGTATAGCGTTTAGAGATTGGCTTTTCGAATCTAACACTCATGAGTTCAAATCATGAATCCACCACTTAGATACTGAATCATTGACAAGTTACCTTTGCTTTCTGAGACCTAGTTATCTCACCTACAAAATAAGTTAAGTGCCAAGTCCAGTGCTTTCTATTGCATGTTGTATGCACTCAATAAGTGTTGTATTTTCTCCAATGTTTCTTTTTTCAAAGAAAAAAAATTAGCTAATGTGTGGAGTTTGAAAGTTCCTGCTAATCACGAAAAAAAATAAGAAGAACATTAAAACAGGGCATTGACCAGAAGAAAAAATAAAAGTATTAATTAGGTAAACATGTATTCACAAATGGCAAATAATCTCCAGGCCTCCTGGTTCAGAAGAAATATGTTTTCCTCTACAATCACTGATATTACAACAAAATGCTATGCCATCCATATTACATCTCAAAATATCAGAGTGGACCACTTTATTTGCCACAATGTGGTTCTTGAATTTGATTTCCACCTGTCAATCAAAATGCTACTTTTAATCTTAATAGTTCCTGTCACTGATTTTTGATATGAACCCCATTAAATTTTATTGAAAAGCAGCATTCATAGTACAGTTGCCACCCAAAGTTAATGAGTAATATATTTTTCATGTTACTTCGTGAAATCCATAAATAGTGACATAAAATCTAATCAGTACATTTTAGACATAAATGTTTAAGAATGTTGTGATGGACTATATTAAATTGTAAATGTTGTTTTGTTAAGAGATTTACAATTTAACTACCATGACATCTTTATCCTGCGCATTTTAGCTTACTCTCTAGGTGACTAGCCATCTGCCACCAAAATAACATATGGTAGAATTAAACAGATGTCATTACTTGTAGATGAGGCTTCAAATTTCACAAAAGTAAGACAACTATCTAACTCACAGAAAGCCGAAAGAATTCCTCTCCTCCAAAATAAGGTATGTGCCAAGTGGAATACAATTCTCTCAGAAAATAATCACCTCCAGGAAATCCCTGGAGGTGGAATGAATTTAATACATTGTTCCACAGCCTTGGTGCACTGATTCAGCATAAGATAGCAAGAAAATTAAAAGATTGGTTTTGTGTACGGAAGACACCATCTTTCTTTCAATATTTTTAAATGAACTCATTCTTATTCTTGGAAGGAAAACACCCACACACTTCTATGAAACCGAAGTCAAAGAAATATCCACATATCCAAAATAAGGATTTTTGTCAAAGAGAGAAGAGATGTGCCCAAAGTATTCTTAACATGAATAACTCTGTTAATTTAATTTGACAATGTTTCCTTTGCTAAAGTAAATAGAAATGCAGCTCCAAATTCATAAGCTAAAAACTACATTTTTCAGAACCTGCCCAACTATCCAGAAGTATGAATTCTAGATCTCTTCAAATATCAATCAAGTGAAAGGCATTTATCCTTACTTAGAATTGTATAAGTAAAAATTAAAACAATATTAAAAAATATTTTCAATTATAAGAACAAGGTTTTAACATATACAATATTGGCAAGCAAGTGAGTGGAGAAACTGGCCCTTTCATATATTTTTGTTCAGTGTGTAAGTTGGTGCAACTGCTTTGGAGGACATCTTGACAATATCAATCAAACTAATAATTTACAAGCCTTTGAAGTCAGAATCTTTCCTGTAAGAATTTATTCTGTGAATTTACTTGTGTATGTGAACACGAAAATGACAGTTGCCACATTTGTTTGTAATAACAAAACACTGGGGACTCCAGGAAAAACCAACACCCAGTGAAAAATGTATGAATACAAATTTGGTTGCATTAAGCAGAGGTTTGAATCTGGTTCGGTTAAGCATTCAGCCACCAGAAGGATCTCAAATGAGGATATCCTCCTATTTTGGGCCAGGAGACAGTGAGCCATATTTCTAACATCAGATGGAAGGTAAAATGCAAAATGTTAAGAATGAATGAATGAATTAGCATTTCTTTGGCACTGAACTGGTAAACTTAAGGCTATAAAATGCATAACACCTGGCTACCATGAAAGTCTATTTCTGTCTCTTCTTATGCTTATATTTTACAAATCATGATCCCAAGCACAGTGATCACTATAGATTTATAGTCTTCTTCTCAGGACAAATATCATGGAAATTATCTTTACAATTAAAGATATTCACATACTGCTGTACCACTTATTGGTATAAAATGACAATGTAAAAAGAAAGCTTTCAAAACATGTATTACATTTGGTCCAATAATTCTACTTATTCAAATGTACTCTTTAAATTATTTGAAGATAATTTCAAGTTATAGAAGAGTTGCATGAATAGTTCAAAGAATTCCTGTGTATGCTTCACCCAAGCTATCGAAATGTTAACATTTTACCACATTGTTGTTCTCTCTGACTGTGTTTGTCTGTCTCCATAGATATTAAAAGCTATTCATTGGAGCATAATTTATAATGGAGAAAACTGGAAGGCATCTATATAACAAGCATCAGGAAAATGCTTTCTTAAATTATAGAATATCTACTATGTGGAATATTAAACAGAAATTAAAATATTTAAAGTGATAATTGTGAAGTTTAGCCTTATTAGATAATGCTAAGTCAAAAGGAAGTTATAAATGATAATTATAAAGATTATAACACTTATTAAATATTACCCAGTGAAAACTCAGGATACAAATGTGACAATATGTAAATAGATTCATATGAGAAAATGACAAGAAGGG